TATTGAGAAATATACAGAGAGAAATTCACAATATTGATATCCTTCATATAAGAGAATTGTAAGATAAATTAATGCATTATAACAACTAATTTTTCATTCAGTGGGTAAGTTTAGTATTACAGTGTTGCTTATTATGCTACTGGCAGTCACCAGACTGCATACATTGTAAGCTGTCATATATATTTCATTTAACTAAATAGAGAGGCACTTAGATCTTGAAAACCATACTATGATGGTTGTACTACAGTTCTTAGAAGTAGGTCATATCACCACTGAAGTTCCTTCTCTCTGCTGAAGTCTGACCAAATAATTTCTTGGAAGCAGTTGCTACTTTCAGGATACACCGTCACAAACAAAACCATTACCAGATGTCAAAACATTCAACAGTTAACATAGCGGAATAAGAGAATCACGTGGCAAAAGAAACTAACAGTCATCTGGAATTTGCTCATTTTCTAACCTATACTGTAAAGAATCTTGTAAAACCTCAACTTCGACTTTATTTATCCAGCCCTGATATTGTCATACTAGCATTTGTCAGTGCTGAGTTAAAGATATGATGCATCATAATGATAAATCATATAATATTAAAGAGGGGAAGAATGCCTAGGCATTGAGGAATTAACTGGGTCAAGTGTGTGAGATTTTGTACTGTACCATCAAGAAGAGCAGCACAGACCATGCTGTCCCAGAGGAAGGGACTTTAAGTTGCTTTCCTCACCTTGAGCTGTTTCAAGAGTGGAAGAAATGCCTCAGAGGCTTTACAGCTCTGCAAGCTGAGGCCCCACACATCCCTTTTCCAGCCATTATTGGGCCACATAGTGGGTAAAAAGCATACTTGGGGAATCCAGAGATCTAAAACCTGTTTCCTGCTCTGCAGAGACACATCATGGGAAATTACACAATATATTTGTGCCTCAGTTTCCTCATCTAGAAATTAGAGGGAACATTTACGTAATTCTCAAAGTTATTTGTAAAAAGCTTTGTGTGAGACACCATGCATATACAAATTGTATATTACTAATTCCAAGCCTTACTACATAGACAATACAATATACTGCCTCTAATCATAGTCAGCATTAACATCAGGTTTATCAGGCTTACCCAGGTATATAACAAAGGAAATGTGAATGGACTGTGTTGTGATGCATGCAGCCAGAGAATAATTGCTTTCAACCACTTGAGAATGGCAGGTAATCTCATCTAAAATGCTCATATTTCAAGGCCATTAATTGTCTGAATTTACCCAGATTCGTGTAGTATTCAGAACTCTTATTCGGTAATTAAATGCATCATTTTACACAGCAGATTTTTTTTTTTATAAAACTATTGTTGCATCTCATAAAGAATGAACCATGCCAGTACAACAGTAAAGGAGACTAAAATTCTGAGATAAACACCCTTAACTCAGCCCAGCTATCATACATGCTGAAATAAATGCAGCTACAACAGTTGGAAGATTATTCCCAATATTGCTTGTTTTAGTGAACCTCCCTATAAAGTCCTCATGCTGTGATCTACATTGACATTCTGAATCTCTCAGTACTTCACATAGTTATGAAAGTTTACTAAATCAATCCGTAATGTTTTTGTGGCCCAGGACAAATACATAATATCAAACTTGTTGAAATCCATTTAGTTTACAAACCAAACCAATCTTCTATCCAGGGTTAGGAAAGCTAAACTATTTAACTACATCTGTGTCTGAACTCATAGGCTGTAATCTTAGCTGGTGTGAGTTGTCTGAAATTTGTTGACTTAAAGAAATCACAGCAATCTGCCCAGGAGGTAAGAATCCAGTTCTGGGAGTTTAGAGATTGATACAACAGCATTGTGGTAATGAACCTTGAAGAGACTGATTTTTGTCTCTACAGCCTTCATCTGCCACAATTCCATATAATGGACCACTCAATGCTGTGCAAATACACATATCTGCTGGCCCTGTTTGCTTCCATACAAAGAAGCAAACGAATAGAAGTGCATTCTTATGCTGCAACCAAATTTTGAACAGCTGTACTGCCAAAACTGTGTATAACCTGGCTGTGCCTTGTGCTGGAGAATATCAAATATAAACTGCTTTGCCTGAGGAGTGTAAGAACAAGCAATTGCTAAAATGGCCCAGGCATTTAGGGTAGTTAGATCCAGAAGACTCTGGTTTATAGATATTACATTTTTCTAGGTTTAATCTGGACTACAGCTGTCATTATAAACGTGCAGACGTCTGTAGTCTGAATTAAATTTGACTCCAGTCAAATTAACTAATCCTCATTGAATGAGGATTAAAGTGCAGACCGGGGCAGTCCAAATTAGGCAATTTAAACTGTATTAATGAACATGTATATACAGCGTTGCTTTTAGGAGAAAGTCTTTAGGAACTCAGATAAGCATTCCTTAGGCATGCAGATAAGCACAGCAAATTGGGTTTTTGCAACACAACATAGGTTGTCCCCTTCCCGCAGCCTTTACAAAGTCAAAAGTAAACACCTTTACAAAGTCAAATGTGCCATCTCTCCTGACTAAATATCAGTATCCTGGCCAAGTCCCCAATTCTGCCTATGCACATGGGCTACTGGTCGTTGAAAAGGGGGTAAACCTTCTTGATCGTCTATTAACCCAGCATTTGAACAGTTAACATGGTTTAGAAAATGGTGAGCACATCTACAAATGGCCACTATGTTCAAAGGGCTAATCAGGTACATTTGTAGTCATTGCATGGGGATTTCCTTTCTTGAACTTAGGGTCCTCCTTTGCCACACTCTTTTTTTTTTTAACGTATTTTACTGAACTATAGGGGAGGAGGTTGGCCTTTCCTCCTGGAAAGGCCTAACAGTAAAAAGTGCCTTCTATGAATATCAGGCACAGAGATGACAGGCCCATCACTTCTCACGAGAGCCTGCAGTGTGGAGGCACATTTAGAAGCATCAGTGAGTGTGGCAGATGTGTTTGGGCCTCTCATCTATCCTCTGCTAGTATGCTGCCTATGGGGACCAGGGCATAATTTAGGCAGCCCACAAGGCTGCTATAACCAGTGCCAGTTGTTACTTCATTTCCTGGCAGCCTTGGTATAAGCCCCTTTTGTCACTGTGTCAGGCTTAGTACAAAGCCCCAATACAAGTATATGTCCTCAGCCCCAAAATTAGAGAGATATAAACACAGCTCACATTTGTGTTTGGGAAAGATTTACATTGAACTTCCCTAACTGTAACTACTAACTAGTTATTGGCCTTGCTCCAACCTACAACTCCCAAAGTAAAGGGAATAATACAAAGTCATTTCGTGTCAGTTGAGGAATAGGTTGTATGGACCAGATGGTCTGGTGATGTAAATCAACATAGTGGACTGAAAGTCAATGTAACATCTCTGATTTACACCAGCCAAAGAGCTGGCTCAATAAAATACCTTACAAGATTTTACCTGAGGAGGAGGTAATGTTTTTTAGCTACATATACACAAAGAAAATACACTGGAATAATGAAGTCAACAGGAACAAGCTTCCCAAAAACGTTTGTTTCAAGGATTTCATAAAAAACTAAAGTCAGCTTGCTTAGAAACAGTTAATATGACAAAGAAGATAGCCAGTTTACAAATGCCAGCCAGCTTACAAATGCCAGCCAGCTTAAAAATGCACAGATAACACTGGAGATGCATGCTATTGCTGTGCTACATCAAATCGTGGTAGCCAGAAGAAATTTTCTCTCTCTGGTATCTAATGGCAGCCTGAACAAAATGGCAACTCATGCCGCCCCACAGAAACGCGATCATGTTATTGACTGATCACACAGAAGACGTGTGTCACCCGTAGCTTTATGGTGACAGTGATGGAGCATTTGCTTAGGCTGCAATCAATTACTTTTAAATGCATTATGTCTACAAAAAATGCAATCAAGGCTAAAGAACCGTATGGAGATATAGAGATACAGGAAAAGACTTATGTGTGTAGCATAACTTTAGATCTAGGGTTTGAGAGTGTGTGTACAAAATATACTCTGCACCCAGATTCCCAAGTGTGCATGTGCATACACAAGAAAATATATAGAGTACGCTATCAGTAAAGAATACACACATGCACACACTGAAGTATGTATTTTTTGTATAAAACAGAGTATAATGCCATTATTTCAAAAATAAACTCCAGCATCCCTGTTGCAAAAATGGATCAAAGGTCAAAACCTAGTGCCTTACTCAGGTGAATAATTCCAATGAATTCCATAGGATCACTTGCCGAAATTAGTCTGGCAATATTTGGCCCCCAAATCTTGTCACAATGCCTCTTTATTCACTGAATACACAAGTATTGTGTGTATAAGGTTCGGCTTTACTTACATACACATATGAAGACACATTTCCCTAACTGCAGCAAAAAATATAAAAATATCTGGGATGACATGCTTTAATGCTAAGCACCTGCAGCTGTTATGGGCTTGAAAGGAACCTGGAGCTGTTCAGCAGCCTGAAAAAAAATCAGTGCACATCTGTATGTCGACATACACATATGCCTGCCCCTCTATTGGCACACATGAATGCATAAGATTTACAATGACATGTATGCTTCATAACTTCACAGTTCAAATAAACCTTTATACATATGCACTCAGATACACACACACACACCCTAATGACAGGCACTAGAAAAATCTAAAACAGCTATGTAGTCAGAGAGAATCCACTGAAGCCATGCCGTGCACACCCATATTCACAATGATTGGTGTTTTTTTATTATGTATAATAAATACCAGCATTTCATAATATTATAGACATACTGTATGTGCCCACACCCTTCTGCTTCTGTGCAATCTAAAACATTTCATTAATGGGGTCCTGGGGATGAGAAACATACAGAATGAGGAAGAGACAGGACATGATTAGCTAGATGAGATAGGCTCCGGCAGCGAAAGCTGCTTCATGTCGGAGCAGGTTTTTCCCAGCTTTCAGATGTGTGATCTGCATGTCTAATAATAAAAGATTTAGTCAATCCATCATTTCTGGCATCAGTCCCTTACCTTGAAATGCTGCAGCTGAAGTATCTGGTCCTCAAGCTGTTGCCTCTTGTCTTCTATTTCTGTCTGCCTTTTTCTTTTTTCCTTAGGAAAATAAACGAGAAAGAGATGGGTGCCTAAAGGACTGCAGATTCTTAAAAAAAAATTTAAGCAGCCAAGCACATTTGTACAGATGTCCCCAATTCCATCCACACAAGCATTTCACCTGCTTCTCTGTCTGTGGGTATGCAAACAGCAGCGTCCTTGGAACATGTCAGCTAAGGACTAGCTACTTGTTCACTGAGCAGGAGAAATTCTCCTTACTCACACTCAACTATAGGGAGCAGCAACTGAATACACAGTCCCAGAGGGGGGAAATGGGCATAATAGCTAACAGTGGAGTTAAAAGAACAAAGATATCCTTTTACACACTATTTATTAGCTCAAAAATTATTGCTTGCTTGGTGTGACAGAATGCTAATATTGTAATACAAGTTAATGGTTACGTAAAGGAGGGCTAGTGCTAAGATCACAGACCCCACAACCTTCTACTACTAAAGTTAGTGATAAAACTTCACCTCAGTTTGACAGGAACAGCGTCTATTCAAAGTCATACTGATCTGCGTTTTGTATACAGATATGCTGTATAACCCAGGACCCAGCCTCAATACCAAACCGTTTTCAGTACAAATGAACACTGTACCCTTTAATAACTGGAACTCATTGGCACCTTTTCTGGCAATCTGAGCAGAAAAAAACCAAAGACTGAGTTGCCCAAACTACCATCTCAGACCTAATAATGTTCTCTGGAAACAGAGTTAGTCCAGTGCAGGGTGGTTTTTGTTTTTTTTAGTTTGTTGGCATCTTGCTCACTAAGACACTATAGTATTCTGGTAGGACTACAGATGCAACACATGCTTCACTTAGCAGTGGATTCTTCCTTGCCTTGCTATGGAAGAACATTGCCTCCTTAACCCCAGAAGTTGTGAATGAGCAACCACTTGGTTCTTCCAGATTACTCATATGCTGCCAACAGAAGCTGGGTATCAGCTCTTTCTTGTATCCTGAATCCACCTGGATGAACAAAGGAGCTGCCCTATGTCCCCCCCCGGGTAAGTGTTCCTTCTTGTAGGTGTTGAAGACAGGACATAAGAAGACACAGAAATGCCCCAAGCCCACCTAGGGATTTGGGAACTGCTTGTCTTATCCCTGTGCCTCTGTAACCATACATCTTAGTTAACATGAGATTGATTTGTAAAGATTTTAAAGGAAGCCAAATATGACCTAATGCAGCAACATTTCCCAAACTGTGAAGGTCCTGGGGGAGGCAAAACTATGGGCAAAAGTTTTGTGCAAAAGCATCAAATTAAATGCTGTGGCAATGGTGGGGGGGCAGAAGGGGAAGCACAAGACTGGCTAGCTTTACTGTGGTAGGGCCTAAACCCCCAAAGTCTGAGAAACAATGAGTACAACTTTAAAGACTGGTATTTTTGGGCTTTACAGTAGTAGAAATCAGGTCTGAGCAAGGAATTCTCCACTTTTCAGTGGTTTAAAGCTTCCATTTCCAAGTCTGAA